GGGACAGCCCATGGCATGATAGTGAAGGTGGCTGAGTTCTTCATGGCCAACTGCATAGTTCAAGTCTCGGATCTGGTGGCTTGAGAAACATGCCGGGCATGTGTGCATGTGTGCCCAAAATCCTGAAAGGAGAAATGGAGAAGTTGTAGTTTGACTCTGATCCACGGGTGGCTTTCCCTCTGTGTGTGTGACTGTCTCTCTCCATTGAGCTCATGTGCCCTCTTGCAAAAGAATTTCTTAAATGGCATTAATAGCAACCTGTATGGGTACACGTAGTATAGTGATTGTAGGTAGAGGTGTGAAAAGAGCAGATGAAGCAAGACTGTAGGAAAAGAGGGCAGGAATAGCTGTTGGTCATGGTTGACAAAACTGTGAAACCAGCATTCTGAATAAAGAGAGCAATCATGGAGCACCTGGGAAAGTCACGTCCTCCCCGGTGCAGGAGACTGCTGGACTTCAATACTCCTTAACTTCATGTTCCGAATTTCTCAGAGTTACAAATCCAGAGCAGCTAAAATGGTTCCCCTGCAGCAGATTGTGCCAAAGCCCCTGTGAGATAAATCCACTTCTTTTCAGCAGTGATAAGTAAACTACAATTGGTAATTCTTATAATATGCGGATTGAATTGTAGAAAGGCAAAAGAAAAGATAAAACTATGTACTGTTTGGATTAAGCTTAAATCCATTGCAAGCAATTGCAAAAGCCAAAGTTGGGGAGAAATCTCTAAATACTTCTTGCAAAATCCTTATATAATTAGCTTCTTTCTTCAGTCTTCTCCACCCTTGTAAAGAAAGGTGATTGTATTTCCTTCTAAATCTGGTCACACATTGCCATTCTCAATTGCCATCTCCAGTTTGGCAGAACCAGTAGGTCCAGGACAGCCCAAGAGCAGGTCAATTGGTCCAGCCCCCTTTCTCAAGATGCGGGAGTAATTGCTTGGACCATCTAAGACAGGGTCAATAGAGCTGGGTTTTAAATATTCTCAAGATTCTCCAATCTCAGGAACCAGCAGTTAGCATAATGGCTATGTCGCTGGACTCCCACGTAGTCAACCATGGTTCGCGTGCCGGACCCGGTGGCTGAAAACTCACGCCGGGCGTGTGTGCGTGCATGCCCAAGATCCTGAGAGGAGAATGGAGGAGAAGGGATTGTGGCATGACCATCCCCCCTGGGGGATGATTTGTCGCTTTCTGTCTCTATGTCTCTCTCTGTCTAACGAGCGCACGAGCCCTATAGCGAAAAAAACCTCTCCAAAAAAAAAAAGATTCTCCAACCTCTAGGATCAAGCAGTCAGAAATGGCTTCTCTTGGGGCTAAACCATTTAACTTCAAAGTTTATATCCATGTTCTCTACTGAGTTTATTTGAGATGGCCCTCTAGATAGTGAGGAGTAGGGATAGGAGTATCCTGGTTGAACTCTGTTTCTTGGGCCTGCCGGAAAGGCTTTGGCAGACAGGCCTGTAAAGATCCTTAACTTAGGAACAACTTGATAATAGAGCAAGGCCTTTATTAGCAGAGCTCCTCTGCTTTCCCTTTCAGCAATGCATACCCCATCCCTGTTCTCCTCTCTCACTCTCTGTAAGGTAACAAAACTAAGCAGGTTGGGCCTCCTTTGTGGGCCCTGTCTTTTACAGACTATTAGCCAGAACATGCTGGATCTTGCACGTGGAGGGGAGAAGGGAATTTGAGTGAAAAGCCTTCTAGTGGAAATCGTGTCACTTCATGGTTGGCTGGAGTTAGTGGGGCCGCCCCGTGGAGTTTGTGTGTCTGGCTGTGTCAACATGGGTTGGCTGCAATCATTGCATCGAGCCATAATCCTCCAATGTAAGGTATGTGCCTGGCACCACCCTGCCTCCAGGCGCACAGGAAGACCATCTCATAATACCAGGAGGATGGCGTGCTCAGAGAAATAAGCCTAGTAGAAAGTGAAAGGGGGATTTCAGTGGTGGCATTCAGAAAGCATTCCTACTGGCTTTCATCTCAAAGCAGATTTTTAATTGACAACTATGACCATGCTTTTGGTGTCCCCCCCCCATTTCTGACCCTAAAAATGTGCACAAAATCTCGTCAGAAAGGCTAAATATTGAACATCCTTTCTCCAAGACAAATCATTCTCTCTGTGACTTCTAAAAATGAAAGGAACAAAATTACCATATAAGGTTTAGACCCTTTTTGGTTAAACAGCTTTGTAATTGAAGGAGGTTATATTATTGGAGTGAGAGATGGTAGTTAACAAATGAGTTATGTGAGCAGTTATCTTTTCTGTCAGGGAGGAGGTGGTATTCTTAAAAAGAATGTATTCTCTCTCTTGTCCTGCCCAGTTTCTGTTCTATATTTCTCTTCTTTTTTTCACCCACTTTGTTTTTATCTACTTCTATATATAATTTACAATCTGTTTATTAATATGAAATATGTGAGGTTGCTTGTAATATTATAACGTATAAATCAGAAGAGTGTAGAGAAAAAACTTAGAGGGCGAGCTAGACAGCATCGTGGCAGGAATCTGAGCTGTACCACAGTCGAGCACTAAATTTGGATGTAAGCCTTTCAGAGGGAAACCAGAAGGCACACAGTGTCAGGTTTTGGAATTCTTTTTAAATCAAAAGAGCCATTTGGTTTCTCTCAGTGTCTATCATATTTCCTGCACCAGGCAACTCCGCATGTTTCTCAAGGATGAGGCTCCACTGCCCTCCATGCCCCAGAACACCCGAAAGCTCTGCACAAAACCCACGATGAGATCACAGACAGGCCTGAGCCTCTAGCTGGCAGAAGGAAGCTGGTGGGTCGGCGTCTGCAGAAAGCTGAGCTTCTCAGGGTTGTCCAAAGGCTGTAAGAAGCCCTGGGCTGGCCTCTGACTTAGCACCAGATCTGATTTTCATCCTAGAGACTGGACGTGGCCAGGTGGACCTCTGGTGGGGAGTGGAGTGAAATGAAAGGGGTCCTCTACTGGACACTTCATTACCCCAGGAGGTGAAACACACCTTCCGGAACTGAGAACCTCCTCCTAGAGGAGCCTGGATCCGTGGCTGTGTCTTGCTATGGGAAATGTCGGTTGAGTTCTCCTTAGGGAAGAGAAAAACAAGTCATGTTACTCTGAATATTCCTAGCTTCAGAAAATAGTTTTGGAAGAGAACGTGGAGACTGTAGGAACTGAATGCTTAAAGCAAAGTCAGGAAGTAGGAGACTGTGTTGTTCAGAACGGGGGCCACTGGCCCCAGGTGTCTTTACAGCATTTGAAAAGTGGCTAAGTCTAAACTGAAATGTGCTGAAAGTGTGGAATATACACCAGGCCAGCTGCGGTAGTGCTGGGATAGCGTAAGACTGGGCAATGCTGGAAGCCATATGGGAAATCCATGGTAGGTTCCCAGGTTACCCTCTGCCTCCTAGGCTCGAGCACACGTGCCTGTGATCCTGGCTGGCTGGGCAAGCTGGGGGGCACTGTGGCATGGGATGTTGTTGAAGGTGCATGTTTTTCTCTCTGTCTCTCATGAAATAAGTAAATAAGCTTAAACATAATAAAATATATACCAGATTGCCAACACTTACTGTGGAAAAAAAAAAGAATATAAATATCTCAATAGTAACTGTAATGTAAAATATCTCAACATGTAATACTGATGATATGTTGAAATGGTATTTTTAACATACTGGGCTATATAAAGTATATTACTGAATTAATTTTACCTGTTCTTTTCACATTTTAATGTGGCCACTGGAAAATTTTAAATATGTGGCTTACATTATATTCGAAGTGAATAGCTCTGGTCTAAAGATCTAGAATAAAATTAAAAATTCTGCGCCAGCCCCTGGATTGTTGGTTAGGGCAGCTGGATCCCACATCACTGACCACATGGTTTGAGTCCTGGACCCAGCAGCTTAAACCCAGGTGGGAGGGTGTGTGTGTGCGTATTTGCCCAATATCCCAAAAGGAGGGAGAAATGGAGGAAAAGAGATTGTGGCATAACCATTCCCCATGGGGAAGGTCTCACTCTCTCTCTCTCTGTCTCCTTTCAGTGAGTATATGCTCTGGCTTTTTAAAAAAATTTTAAAGCTCTGAATAGTGAATTTACACCGTGTTCTCTAATGCCTGTGTTCTCTCTTTCGTTCTCTTTCAACAGATACGACTCCACGTAGCATGACAAGGACTACACTAATCACCAGTTCCTTTCTATTTTTCTTCTCCTACACAGTTTCCATTTCTTTTACACTTGCACCCCCGCCATCTGCAGTACACCAGTTCCAGGTGTTTTGAGCTGTGTAGAATTTCTGTGTGTACAGATGTGTGCTCAGACTTTTCTCTTTCTGAGAAATCGAAGGAGATTACTGAAGGTCCACTTACTTCTCAGAGCCATCACCACTGACTCGACCTCCGGGGCGTGGGGTGGTCTCTGGGCGGTCCCTGGAGCCTCCTCTCACAGAACACTGTCCCACCTGAACGCCCACACGTGCCATTCCCTGGAGGAGAGCAACCAAGTGCCGCGGAGGCAGTGATTACGCTCTGCCTCGACTGTCTGGTTTCCTGTAAAATAAACACATTACTTTATATTTTTAGGCAACAAAAAAGTGCTGCTATAGGGTACAAAATTTTCATTCTGAGCCTTTTTCCAAAACAGATTACCCCAAAGAAGCATTTTAAATATCCTGGTCACATCTTTGGATCTGTAAAATATACCTTTTAGTATGGCACCTGTTAAATGCAAAGCAAATTTCTTCAAGGCAGAAAAAAACAATCTGACAGTAGCAATGTAGAATTTGTTCATTCAAACACATCTATGTAAATGCAAAAAGTCATAAAATTCACCTCCGAGCTGCTTGCTACTGAACCTGCAGCAACTAGTCTCATCCGGCCTGGTTTGAACATGATTCCTTCCCAAGTGTCAAAAGTGCTGCAAAGCTAGAAGAGTAGAGTGGGGCCGCCCCTCCTCACTTTTTCCTCCCTGAATCTTCTGGAGCTTGCATCAGGGATGGACTTTTTCTCTAGGGAACCCTCTGGAGCTTGAGGGGCTATTTCTGAAGAATTCCAGCATCATTCCAGCAGTTGAAAAAGGAGGCCCTGGGGGAAAAGTCATTGATAACATTTGTGCCTGTCTATGAATACTTTTTTTTTTTAACTTATCACTGTTTACTGATGTGAATTCTTTCTTTGGCACCAAGTACATTTCATCTTCTTAGGCACAATCAGAAGATATCAGGATAGGGATGTTTTTGTTTTTGTTTTGTTTTGTTTTCTAGCTTTTGCTTTATTTAAATATTTGAATGTGAGGCTGATCAACCCTTCCAGTTGTGCATATTAAAATGGTCGATTTCCAAGTAGTAGAGTTTTCAGGGAAACTGATAAGGATTCTGTTCAATTGATCTTGTGTGCTGCTACTTGTTTTGACAAATTTGGGGGTAAGTCAATGACAGCCAAACCAATCTTACTGAAAGCACCCCTTCTGTCATCATGCATGCCCAAAATAAGTGAGCTGGCATTCTGTCCCTTGTAGCTGTTATGGCTGTGTGGGTCAAAGACAGTTCAAGAGTGTGTGTGTGTGTGTGTGTGTGTGTGCACGTGCATACATGTGTGTATAAAATGCTAAGGGCTGCACATTGACTTCTAACCTCTTGTAAAATTTCCCTAACAAAGCAAAGCTGCTTTTACTTAATTTATTTGTTAAATGTTGTACTTTGTTTATGTGTGTTTTGGTTTTGGGGGGAGTGGGGAGAGAAGACAACAAATTCTATCAAAGTATTATTTCATAAACATGACAATTTTGCATTCATTCAATTTTTTTCCAGTCATCGTGTCGCTAGTGTCTGCCCAATATAACTCTATGTCATCATTTGTGGTCTGATAGAACAGTCCTTGTAGGGCAGGTTTTGCAAACCTTATCAGGTAATAACATATGCCACAGATTATAACCTTGCTGTTAATATATTTGCCTCTGATTTTGGAAGTTAAAACATCGGTCTTCGAGAGGGTGGGCAGTTAATTGACATACCACTACTATCTGTTGCACAGTGGTATTACTTTGTATTTGGAAACTGAATGAAGGTCAGTAACTTTTTTTTGCCTCTCATGAATATCCATCATAAAAGTATGTTTCAGAATTTTTCCAAAGTAACTTTTCCCTGGATACCTCTTCTCAACTTCTAAAGAATTCCTTGGCCCTTTCATGTTTCAAAAGGAAACATTCACTTTAGTTCCATATTACTTGATCTCTTACGAGGGACCCACCAAATTCACTTTACTTTTATTCACAGAGAAAGTTGGCTTTGATGTCTCTTAAAGATAATTCTGCTAGTTGCTGATCAGCCAGTCAGTTCACCTAGCTCCGATCTTTATAGGACCTCTAATCTAATTTTCCTATACTGTGACTAAAAGGCAGCTATTGGAAATGATTATATGATATATTCAGTGGATCCTTAAATATTATTTTATATAACAAGCACATTATCATATCAAGACCATGTACTCTCTAGGCTGCTTTTTTAAAAAGCCACGTTTATGTGATTTTCATTTTTCTTAGACTATTTCCTCCTGTACTCTAAATGTAAAAACCACAATTCTGCACAGCCAAGCCTGTGATTATATTTTTTCATATGCTGCTTTTCACTAGTGTGTATGTGTGTGTGTATTTTCCTCCTCTCTGAACAATTTTATATCTCATGAAACTTCTTGAAAATTTACTCTTTGATGCTGTAAGGGAATAACCAGATGGTTCATACAGAAAAACTCTACCTGCAGGATGATGGCTTGCTAAATTAGAAGAACGCTGTTTGAGATTTATGTTTGAGAACTAAAATATACTTGCTTTAGTGTTGTATGTGTTACAGTCGGTTACTAGAGAATTCTCTGTAAATGTACCATCTCTTCAAATGCGGTACAACTTGCTGTTGTCGAGTGGCAGGTAGCAGACAGAACAAAAAGAGTGGGTTAAATGTCTTTTTGAAAATAGAGTCACATGATTAAGAAAATCAGAATTTATAGAAGTATTGGGATAATTAAAGAAATAAAAATGTTTGTCTAGATTGTAGCATGTAGTGACTTTTTGAAGCCCTAAAGTTCACATGAGGAAGTGATATTCCCATCCAAGATAATACATCTCCAGGACTCAGAGGGGAATGTAGCAGCTCCATGTTCCTATAGGAATAACTGATAGCAAGTAAAAGCTCTTCACAATCCCCTTTCGAAGTGCATTTTTTAGCAGGGCAGAAGACATCTGGACTCCAGCTAGGTGACAGATTAGGGAAGTTTTTCATTGGCCGGAGGAGGATTTCACTCCACTGTCTCACCCTCAGTATCTGGAGCAAGCAAAGGAACCATCGTAACATAAAATTGCTTCATTTAACACTAATGATTTAGACTTCTTTTCAAAGACTAAATAAGGGCCAGGTGACTACTGAAGGAAGCACCACTCCATAAAGTCTCCTTACTTATTTCAAAATCGTGTAGCAATTTTAAATACTTTCATCCTGTGCAGATATAAGGGGAATAGGGCATTCTGTAGAATTATACACGTCTAGTTTGTAAAGTGTGTCATGTGTACTGCAGATGGTGTTTTCAGGCTTTATGTATCTGTACAGTAGCTTTCATTAAAAACCGTGTGTGGACAACTCGTTTTGGTGATTTGAGGGGGAGATGGCATTTATATCAAGTAATCACGGTGTACATGTAACGAAAGATTTGGAAGTAGCCCTCTCCTGGCCTGTGGACATGTTGGTTATCTTCTAGATTCTGAAATGAAGATGTATGGCTACTCTGGCAGACTGCATGTTGTATAATTTGAAAAATACAAAAAGTGGAAAATAAAATTGAATTAAACTTTGGCTGCTCTGTTTTTCCTTTCTTGAGTCACACTGACGGCCCTCTCACTTACAGCCTCAGTACCTGTGTTTGGACGAGCCATTTTCTGGCCTCACAGAAGTTAGAGCAGCTGCTTGAATGTGTAGCTCATGCAAAGCCAACCTTGAACTTTTTTTTTTTTATTTTATTTGGCATGAATATCTACTTTTAATTTTTTCCATTGAAGAACTGCGAAATTTAACATTTGTTCTTTCAGCTCTGTTAAGGTAGAATGAAATAAGGTCTTATCAACTGTTTTAGAAGTAAGATTAAAGGGTCAGTGAGTGTTGCAGTGGTGGCACCACACTCTGATGCTGGGCTTACATGAGAAGGTCACAGGTTCTCATCCCAAGGCCTTCCGTATACTCCTGGTGCCCACATGCATGTGGAATCTGTGCTGGCTGGCTGGGGGGGGTGGGAATCGCAGCATGAGGACCCTGTTGGTAGCATGCTTGTCTCTTTTTTATGGAAGAAATAAGTAAACTCTTTTTTTTTTTTTTTTAGGTTTCTGCCATAGGGTGCATGCATAAGGTGAATCTCTCATTGAGAGACAGAAAGAGGAAAAGTGAAACCACTCCCTCCCCGAGAAATGTGGCCATGCCACAATCCCTTCTCTATTCTCATCTCTGATTTTGGGTGTGCATGCACATGTTCCCAGACTGATTTTTCTTTTTCTTTTCTCTTTCTTTCTTTTTTCTTTTTCTTTCTTTCTTTCTTTCTTTCTTTCTTTCTTTCTTTCTTTCTTTCTTTCTTTCTTTCTTTCTTTCTTTCTTTCTTTTTTTCCAGAGATTTTTGCTATAGGACGTCTTTCTTTCTTTCTTTCTTTCTTTCTTTCTTTCTTTCTTTTTTTTGAGAGATTTTTGCTATAGGACGCGTGTGCTCGCCAGAAAGACAAGAGAGAGAGAGAAAGCGAGAAATCACCCCCCCCCAAGAGGGAATGGCCACACTGCAATCCCATCTCCTCCATTCTCCTCTCAGGATCTTGGGCACGAACGTACACGCGCCCGGCATGAGTTTAAGTCACCAGGTCCAGGACTCGAACTGTGGCCAACTACATGGGAGTCCAGTGTCATAGCCATTATGCCAACTACTGGTCTCTTCCAGACTGATTTTCAAGCCACTGAGTTTGGGACTCAAACTGCGGTTGGCCATTTTGGAGTCTAGCACTGTAACCACCATACCACCTGCTGGCCCCAGTACGTAAACTGTTTTTAAAAGTAGGATTGGTTTAAAGTTCAATATATTAGTATATTAGCTGAATTTCTGGATTTCTCCTTGTCCAAGAAAGTTGCCTCTTCTAATGGTACATGTTAAGCATTGGCACCCTTTGTGAGTTAGAGCTGTGGATTTGATGAGAGGTTATTGTGGTTAATCCTCTTTTTGAGGATTGGGGTGTTTGTATTTGTTTAACCTTAGTTTTACCGATCTGAGATCTTCCTCAAGGACTCCAGGTTGTGAACCTAATAGAGAATAGCAATGGCAGTACACAGGCCTTCCCCCCTCCCCCAATCTTAAGGAGAGTTCCTGACCTTGGGTCACTAGAATCATGACCATGCATGGTATATTTTTTAAAAAGGGGGACAGACCACATTGTTTTCCCTGTAACGTATTTGGAGTTTTTGCTATAGGGCATGTGAACTTGCCTGAGAGAGACAGAGAGAGAGAAATTGAGAAATCACCCCTCGGGGGAAATAGTCACACTTCGATCCTTTCTCCTTCAGTTTCTTGTCGGGATTTGAAGCATGCACGCCCGTTTGCCAGGCATGATTTTTCAAGCTGCCAAGTCTGGTACTCGAGCTGCGCAGCTAGTCATGTGTGATCCAGCGCCTTAATTTCCACAACACCTGCTCAGTTGTGCATGGTACTATGTATAGAAAACATCCCCCTTCTTGTTCTGGTTTGATTAATGGTGCATTGAAGCCAGACAGTAAACCCCTTTGCCTTAATCAATTAAAAATGAAAAAAATGTATAGCAAATGAATGCTTCGTAAGTGTAATCGAGGGTGCTGCAAATGGTATGCTTTCAGGAGGTCTTCTCCATCTCGTTGAAACTTATTCTCCAAAAAGCTTGTAACAGGCAGTTTCCAGATGTCTGATTGTTAAAGCTGACTTAGGTAGTAAACTTGAAACATGGTGGATGGATATTCAGGCTGAAACCTGTTTAGGATGGGAAAATCGTCCTCTGAAAGAACTGGATTACAAAGTGAACACCAACCCCTGTGGGAAATGACTCTCTCTCTGGATTCCAGAACTCAGTGGCTCTGAGATGCAGTAGCTCTACACTGACAGTGGTGTTCTTTGGGTTTCCACAAGTCTTTCTTAAGGTTTCCTGTTCCATCTGGCTCTGAACTGTGCTGGGTTGTGCCTTGGAAGCTTCTAGGGAGAAAGTGGAACGGAAGCAATAACCCGCAAAGGCAATTACCAGTGATGGTATGTATTGGCAGGTTTAATTCTAGCATTCATGACAGGTCACGTCTTGTGATTAGACTTACATACGTAACACATAGAACAGAAACAGGAGATGTCTTGTGAGTGACGCATCAGATGAAAATGTAGGATCACTTGACAAAAGGTGTCCTGAGTCATGGGATTTTCACTTTCCCTTTGGCCTATGGTGGCTCTTCATCCAATCTGCAAAGAAAATACCAATCTCTGTATGGTTAGTTGGGCACAAAATAATAAGGCAAACTTGCGGGTAACCCCTGTTGGTCTTTTCTGCTTGCAGAACCCTCGTTGGCAAAGGCTGGAAATCACATTTTGCTTCTTTGCAAAAGGAATTTGTGTTTGTGAGTTCCAGGAACTCTCTTGTCCCAGAGAGCACCTTCCAAATGCTCACCCTTCCTCATGACCAGATTGCAAATGATGAGTCTCAGGGTGTAGCTTTTCAAAAATATTTACCTACAACAAAGTATTATTCATTCCGAATGTCTCACTGACATTAGAGAAATTGACAAACTCGTTCCCGGCGACATGTAACAGCATCAGAACCCTGTAATGCTCAGAAAGCAGCAGTGAGTAGTCAATTAGTTCAAGAGACTATCCTGGCTGTGTGCCAGACACTGTTTTAAGTGCTTTACATGCATTAATCCATCTAATCCTGCTAATAACTCCATGAGGTAGGCAACGTTATCTCCCTCTTACAGGTGACAAAACAGGCACAGAGAGGTTCAGTGACTTTCTGGAGGTCTCACACCCACACAGTCTGGTTCTAAGGTTAGTGCTCAACAGGTCGGTGTGGGACTGCCTCCCTGAACATTGAGGTGTATGTGAGAGGAGTCTTTAAAAAGCTCATGGAGGGACCAGCAGTTAGCGTAACGGCTATGTTGCTGGACTCCCACATAGTCGACTGCGGTTCACATCCTGGACCCGGTGGCTTAAAACTCATGCCGGGCGCGTGTGCATGCGTGCCCAAGATCCCGAGAGGAGAATGGAGGAGAAGGGATTGTGGCGTGACCATTCCCCCTGGGGGGGGGATTTCTCGCTTTCTGTCTCTCTGTCTCTCTCTCTCTGTCTGGCGAGTGCACGCGCCCTGTAGTGAAAAACCTCTCCAAAAAAAAAAAAGAATTAAAAAAAAAAAGCTCGTGGAAGTTGATATTATGAAAACAAGCAAACAAACAAAAAACAGCTCAGAGCTTTTTGTTTCCCCACCAAAATAAACTTGTATATTAATTCAATTTTCTGCAAATGATTTGAAGTCTTGTGTGGATCTTTGCTAGAGGGCATGTGTGATTACTAGAGAGAAACAGATAAGGAAAGGAGGAAGCACCCCCATGGGGAATGGTCATGTCTTAATCCTTTCTCCTCCATCTCTCCTTTCTAGAACTTTGGGCACATTTGCACACAAGCCCTGCATGTTTCTCAAGCCATTGGATCTGGAACACGAACCGGGGGGTTGTCCATATGAGATCCAGCTACTTTAACCACCAGGTCATGGGGCTGACCCTGCGTGTGTGTGTATTAATAACTAGCAACCAGCCTCAAAAGCATTTTCGAAAAGATTTTATATCAAGAGCCAGCTCTGCAGCACAGTGGTAGTGCACTGCTCTAGAGGAGCCAGGAGGTGAGGGTGTTCAGAACCTTCCATTTGGTCACACTGGAACAGCAGGCGCAGCATGCTTGTGCAAGACCAGGCCAACTGGAGGAAGGGGACTGCAACATGACCAGGCCCTGTGGAGGGTGCTTAGCTCTCATTCTCACACACATGTGCATGTGCTCTAATGGGAGTTTGAAAAAATAATAGAATTTATGCAAAGATTTAGACCTTAACAACTTTCCTCTTTTCTCCTTTCCCCTTTCCTAGGAATCTGAGACCTCATTTTTGTTTGAATTACTTTAAGCAATCAAATGCATCTAGGAAAAAATCAAAATAATAATGAAGGAGGACGCCTCACAGCAGGGTTGCCTGATGATCCTGAACTTTGGGGCTTTTGATGAAAGACTGCATTTCCGCTGTGCCCCTGTCAGAATCTTTTTCTTACAACACAGACACTTAGAAGTGCAGCAATCACATCTGTCTCAGTTTTCAAACGTATATTGTAATCATTTAACTTATTACCCATGTTAATTTTTTTCTCTTTAAAGCATTGATGATCTCTCTTTGCATTTAAAAATATCACCTATATCCCTCTGCTTCTTAAGTAGAAAGCTCTCAGTATTCTCTTGCCCCATCTCTGGCTCTCAGGGAAGGGCTGAGTAGCCCTGGACAGGTTGCTCCTTATCCCTGGGGATGTGTGAGGCCTTGGAGGGTGCAGTTCAGGGGCCCTGTTGACAATTGCACCCTCCTTTCTCACCTCCTGCCCTGTCACGATGATTAATAGGATCTCATTTTAGAGCTGTAGGTCTTAGAAAAGGTAAACATGCCAATCATACCACACATGCATATGCAAGTCTACAGAAAGGGATATAAACAGAAGTGGGGGTGCCTTCTGCACTCCCTCCTTCACCACAGACATGCATTACCTGTGCCTCTCCTGTCTGGAGATGT